ATGGTTTTAAGTCTGTCTACAAGCCTCAAGTGGAAGAACAGGCAAATGGAACGGTGAAAATATCTCTAGCTGAGCAGCTCAGGTTCTCTCATCAAATTCCTGCTTTTCGTCTGACAGAAGAGAGAGGTGGCATCGTGCGAGGTTTCTGGGAGCTTGATCCAGCAGCAATGCCTGTTTATTTACTTTGTACAGACTGAACAAAGGCGACGTGAAGCAGCATTTAGCTTTTCTTTGTTTACTTAGCCCAAAATGTGTGGATATTTGTACAGGATGGTCATGCCTATTAACTTATCTTTTCTTAGTTTATATCCTAGCCCAGAATGTGAGGGTTTTTGTACAGGAGTTAGTTTACTCTTGATACATATGCTGAAATGCTCCCCAGGCCTTTGAACTTAGTTTAATAGTCTTTGTTTGAACTGATATGCAGCTTTTGTGAACAGCTAAATTATGAGTAATGGGTGCTCATTGCCTTGTTACCAGTTGAATGTTATGTTTAAGTCCTGAGCTTTACTGGAGGATCGATCTCCTCACCTGCACTCTCCTGCTCACAAGGCTAATGAGCAAGTATTTTTGAAGATAGATGTTCCGTTTGAATATGACTAGATTTTGAGCAACTGTACCCTGCCTTGGATCAGACATTTTTGTCAGATGTCAATAGCTCAAGGAGGTATACGATCTTTGTGGTGATTGTTTCTGTTATTACTTGAATACCATACTGTTCCTTTTTTAGTTAAAACTGTGCTTCAACATTGTAAGTAACTCTCTTCTTTCCGTTCAAGTTCACATTGTGTTCACAGTTAGTACTTTGATGCAATACACTCCTTGTGCAAACAAACTTCTCTTTTTTTTTTTAAAAAAGAAAGATGACGAAAAAGGGCAGCCCAGTACACTAAGCTCACGTTATGCGCGGAATCCGGGGAAGTACCGGACCACAAAGTCTATTATACACAACTTTACCCTACATTTCTGCAAGAGGTTGTTTCCAAGGCTACAAATCTGTGACCTCCTGATCACATGCAGTGGCGTAGCTAGGAATTTCGTCAAAGACATTCACACTTTAAAAAGTCAATAACTTTTTTGTCGATGAATGGTGTACCAAAATTTTTAGATCAAACTGCGCAACATTTAGCTAACCAATAAAAAAAAATTTAATAAAACTATAATTTTATAAATTAAAATTAAAATAACTAAAAAAAACACATTAGAAATTTTACTAATAAAAAGTAAGCATACCAAAGACAAGAGAGAGCTGAAAGGATTTATAGTTTGTAGAGAGCTTTTGTTGAAGCTTGACTTTTAAATTATAAAATTTATTTATAAAATAACTTTTAGGGTCTGTTTGGAAAGCCATTCGGTAATTAAAATTTGTGTAATTACTAGGGTAGTAATTACACAATGTAGTAATTACGACGACCTGTTTATTTGTCATAACATAACTACAGCGTAATTACAAACATATTGTTTGGTTGCACAAGTGTAATTACACTATCAAATTAAATTTTATATGAAGCAATAAACTTAAAAGTTAGTATAATAAATATATGCTTATAAATGATTTTTTATAAGCATAAATGATATTAGATTTGGTATTTAATATGCATATTGTTTCTTGAATATACCTCAATTAGTAATCATATATTTATAACTAATATTGTATAAAAAATTGATATATATTTTTTAAATTAATAAGATTTAGTTTAATTAAGTATAAAAACTAAAAACATATATTTTGTAAGAACATCATGTAATGCATGTTTGATAAGATGAATTAATATTTATTAATATAATATTATAACATTATTCAAATATTTGACAAAACCAATCTATCAATTCTAACTAAAATACGAATAACATGCAATGTGAAATAACAAGCCAGTACTATTAAAACAAGTATATTGGAACCATAAATATAACAAAATTTCAAAATCCAAAAAAAAAAAAGAGTTTAACATATGTCAAATTCCAACATAATAAAAATAAGTTCGAATACAACTTAAGATTAAGAAACATAGCAAGTTTATAACCTCATTCAACAACAAAATTCTATTTTAATGACATCACTCATTATATGCCAAGTTTGTTAATAACTCATTATCTCTAATATTAGGAGGTGTAGTTTCAAAAACTAGAATAATAACGCAGTTACGCTGAATGAAGAAAATAAAATAAATAAAAAATAAAATATACGAGCAATTACATGGAATTATAAGAAGTAAAGGTATAGAAATAATAGATAAGTATCGTACACAGAAAAAATATATTTTAAAATTAAAAAAGAACTTAAAAAGTAAGAATAAAATAAAAAGAAATTAAAATAATGGAAATAAAAATTATAAAGAAAATAAATTAAAATAAAAACATCGACAATAACAACCCAGTAAAATCACACTAATGGGGTCTGGGGAGGGTAATGTGTATGCAGACCTTACCCTACCTCGCAGGAGTAGGGAGACTGTTTCCGAAAGACCCTCTGCTCAATTATACAGTGTAAGTACAATCAATTTTCACCCTCCCCATTGGGAATTGGAGAGTGTAATTACAACCAACTCCATGCTAACCAAGTAATTACTTGGCCAGACAAACATGCCAACACCCAATTATACTCAAATCCAATTCCTAGGTGGCTTTCCAAATATACTCTTAGTTAAAAAACTATTACTTTTAAGATTAGTTGTTTATTTCTCCATAAATTTTAAGTTTTAAGAGTTATTTTATTACATTGAAAAAGAATTAAATAGACCATACATGGTGGTCTCCGTTTAGTTATGCCAAATAAAATGGGTAGAACTTTGAACCCATGAACAACACTTCACTTCGAACATCCTAAACCGCTCATTCAACTGTGTTAAGGGTGTTCAATTTATAATATATAACCATATAACGCAGTATTTAACTTATACACGTAATATATTTTTCAGCAAAGGGTATGCGTTTGCCCCTTTCCCATCCCTTAAGTTAAAATAGTACGATCTAGCCAGTTTTCGGACTGGTCATTCAAAAATAACCAGCATTTGCCAAGTTATTAAAAAATAATCACTATTTTGCTGCAACAGAAACCGGTCCAGCATAATATACTGGAGTTCGGTGCACCTGTGTATGAATTTCCAGCATATTATGCTGGACCGGTATACTTTGCTGGCTCCAGTATAATATACTGGAGACTGGAGCACCGGTACTCCAAACTCCAGTATATTATGCTGGACCGGTATACTTTGCTGGCTCCAGTATAATATACTGGAGACTGGAGCACCGGTACTCCAAACTCCAGTATATTATGCTGGACCGGTATACTTTGCTGGCTCCAGTATAATATACTGGAGACTGGAGCACCGGTACTCCAAACTCCAGTATATTATGCTGGATCGGTATATTATACCGGAACTCTAGTATATTATGTTGGGGTATTTTTTCGGATTTTGAATAGTGTTTTCGTACAGATTTATCTTTACATAAAAAATGGCTAAATTTCGATTACTTTTGAAACTGTGGCTATTTTTGAATGACCACTTGTAAATCTGGCTATTTTTGAATTTCTCCCCTCCCTTGACACAGAATGACTACACCGCTTGTTACATGTCAACAACTTTACAAAAAATAAAAATATATTTCCATGCGGTTGATAATTTTTCTTGTAGTTTATTATCTTAATCTCGATAAAGATGCGATTGTTAATTTTTCTTGTAGTTTATTATCTTAATCTCGATAAAGATGCGATTGTTAGTATACATGACAAGTTTCTTAGAATTACAAGAAGTGTGGAAAAAATAAAAAAATAAATTAGGAGCACCATAATTGAAGAAACGATCAAATCACAAATATTCGGAGAATAACATACCGAATATCATCAGAAAAGTTTACCGTTATCCAATCAAAGTTTATCACAAGCTTGTGTAGAAGTATCTCCATAAAAATAACACTGCAATGACCACTCCAAACAAGATCAAAAGTTGATGATTCATCCGTCTTCTAAAATGAATTATATAAAAATAATTGAACTTTCAAAGCAACTGGGCATTTGGTCTAGTGGTATGATTCTCGCTTTGGGTGCGAGAGGTCCCGAGTTCGATTCTCGGAATGCCCCTTTTGCTCAATACTTAAATTGTTTTGGCTCAATTTCAACACTAGCATATATACATGTTTACCTGTTTTATAACTTCTACTAATAAAGAAGCAATAAAATAAATTTTGTTCTTTAAAAGACAAGATCCAATAATTGATACTAATATAGATTATTACTCTTATGTCTCATTTTATACGATTGTAAATACTATTTGAGAAGCATTTAAAATATTTTAAATAAAAGTCGTGATTCAAAATAGATATACTTATATAAGTATATTTATAACCTAACGAATTGATGTCTGATACTATATAAAATTTTGAACCAATTAAGGAAGGAATTTCTGTTAAGGAAAAATTAAAGTGGCTTAAACATTCTAATGTAACATTTTCAAAACGCATTTTTATTCCAAAGAACCAAAGAGGGTTAATTGTACAAATTGAAATAAATAAAGGAAAAGGAAAGGAAAAGTAAATTAATAAAAGTACTCATTTACCAAAGGCCACGGTAGTGTGTTATGTGTAGCAGTAGAAACTCGGGAGAACATAAAAAGGCAGAAATTTCCCTCCAAATTAAGAAATTTTCCCACTTCTCCCTATTTTCCCTCCTTTAATCTCTAACCCTATACT